TGTTGTTAAGTTGTGTCTGGGTCAAATTTGTGGTCATGTTAGAAGAAATTGAGCTGTTGGTTGCTGTTGAGTTCTGGACTCCAATCATCATGAATGCCATACCAAATATAGCTACATAGGTCCATTTATAGCTCTCCATTTATGTGTTTGTTTTAGCTCCGTTTTTGCAATCTGAAATGTAAAATGAAGATTTTAGTTTATGTAATTAAAACAATTGTAAACGATTTTAAAAATAGAAAAACAATAATGTCACCTAAACAATATCTCAAAAACACCATTTAATTGTATTTGCTGTTACTGTGCTTTTGTGGCCAATTCATTGGATTTTTTATTTTTTGATACCCAAGGAAAATATGTTTTATCAAGAAGTTAATTTCAGCAAAACTTGCACTTAATGTTTTGTTTCATGCGCTCCAAGAGTTCCTATGTATGTTGTAGGTGTGGCTGTAATTAGTATGACACCAGGTAAAGCTTCCCTCTGTGTGTCTGCGCTCAGTTGTGTTGTGTATGCAGGGGTTACAGTAAGGTTTGTCTGTGGACTGCTTGGCCTAATGGCAGAAGCCAGTCAGGGTCCAACTACATCCTCGAAGGAACATGTCAAGCCGGGTCCATTATGTTTAAGGAAGACCATATCAACCGATGCTACAGAGCTAGACTGGAGTGCTATCTGAATGATGCTGTGGAACATGCCATCTAGATTTGTTTTGGGAAAGCCAAAGTTGATCATTTTGCCACAAGGAAATTCAAAGTTATCCCCTGTGGTATTCTGCTGTGGGCTCAGAGCCAAAGATCTGCTGGTTTCATCAGATTGGTTGGTCTGATCACTGCTAAGCCCAAGGACAGGAGCCAATATTTTTCCATTGGCATTGTTTCACATGTACCTACTAAAGCAATGGTTTGTAAGGTACAGATTGACTCTATACAAGAATGGACAGTGCCTGATTCCATCCGAGAGATTTGGATTAATTTTCAACAGTCAAGTATTAGCATTTTACTACATCCCTGAAGGAAGGTGTCAAGCTGGTTCCATTATATTCAAGGAAAATCACATCAACCGATGCTGCACAGGTAGGTGCTGCGGTACAGGCCATTTGGATTGGTTTTTGCCACACAAAAATCCATACGTTGTCCTATGTGGTATTCAGCTGTGAGCCTCAGAGGGCCCTTTTGTCGTGGAGCAGGTCTGATCTCTGTTGTGTTTTCCTTTTGTGTCCTGCTCCCATTTGCTCTCAGCTGTCAATTCTAACACGTTGTCTTTATCTCCCTTGCCTTTCCAACATTTTTTTCTGTTTATTAATGTTTACTAACACCAAGATATCTGCTCTACAGAGCTCACCTTCTTGTCCAGTCTTATTTTGTCTTGTCTCACATCCACAATAAAGTATATGTTGAGACTTTGTGATTATTTTATGTGGTAGGCTAATTGCTTCTACCAGCTCTTCCTCTTTGTCCAGGCCAAGCAAATGCCTTTTTGTGCTATCTTGAACACCAGATCTGCGTTCACTTTCGTTTACTTTCATTTGAATGGCAGGCTGCCTGATTTGACTCATTTGAAACATAATGAACTTCCTGTTAACCCTTCTTTTGTCCAGCTGTTCTGTCAGTGTTAGTTTTTGTGTGTTTTCTCTGTCTCCCTCCTGTGTCTGTCTATTAGTGCGCACCTGCTATCAATTCCATTGTTGCCCCATTCTTATCGCGCACATCTGTTCTCTCTCCTCTCTGATTGTTGGCTATTTAATCTCACCTTCTCCCTCCTTCTGTGCTTGAGTGGTTTGTATAGTTGCAACTTTCTCTAAAAGAGCAACACAGTTGAGCAGCGCATCTTTTTTCAAGATGTCGCTCCAACTGTGCGTTTTTGGATGCGGTCATTTCCTGTCCACGGATGATGGGCACAAGCACTGCTTTGCATATCTGGGGATCCAGCATATTAATGCGGTGCTCCCAGGCATTTTATGCCGTCACTGCGATGGCATGTCTGTTGAGCAATTAAGATTGTGGCTTCCAGTGGGAGTAAATTTGATGCCTACGGGCCTGTGGATCTCCCGATTCTCGAAGTGCTTCATCCAAGCTTCGCACGGGGGAAGCAATCCGTCTAACCAGATGGTAGCCCTTTTGCTCGACGACACTGGGGATCAGATGTCCACTGCTGCATCGGAGGGTGGGCTTTCATTGTCTGATGAGGATCCGGACCCTTCCCCCCCCCTCCGGCAGGTAAGCGCTGCGTCAGAACCATAAAGCGACATGTTAGCCGTGCTTTCCCAGGCTGCTTTGGCCATAGGGTTGGAGATGGTTTATCCCCCAGCTCTGCGGCCAGACCAACTAGATGGGTGCTACGTGGAGGATACCAAGAAGGCTAGACCTTCTAGGCCTCCCATCCCCTTCTTCCCGGAGGTGCACAGTAGGCTCACGTAGTCTTGGAGGGCACCTTTCTCTGCCCAAACTGCGTGCGCCTCTGCCCTCACCACCCTTGATGGCGGAGCAGCCAGGGACTATGAGGTGATCCCGCAGGTCGAGCATGCTAATCGGTCAACCTTTGTCCACGTGGTGCCTCTTCCTGGTAGGGTCCGCAGTACTGTCGAAGATGATGATGATGATTTGATTTGTTGAGTTCATTCATTCATGCATTCATTTTCTTGTCGGCTTAGTCCCTTTATTAATCTGGGGTCGTCACAGCGGAATGAACCGCCAACTTATCCAGCAAGTTTTTACGCAGCGGATGCCCTTCTAGACGCAACCCATCTCAGGGAAACATCCACATGCACATTCACACACTACGGACAATTTAGCTTATTCAATTCACCTGTACCGCATGTCTTTGGACTGTGGGGGAAACCGGAGCACCCGTAGGAAACCCACGCGAAGGCAGGGAGAACATGCAAACTCCACACAGAAACGCCAACTGAGCCGAGGTTCGAACCAGAGACCCATCGACCCTCTTGCTGTGAGGCGACAGCACTACCTACTGCGCCACTGCCTCGCCTGCATCCTCAGCAGTTGTGGAAGCCAAATATAAAATTTGGTGAAGGGGTCACCACGACATCTACCGGTTAGACTTTTCTCAAGCCAAGGATCAGCTCTGGTAGCCAAATACAGGGAAGTAGAGCCTACATGTCTGGCCACTAGATAGGAATCAGACAGAAATCTTGTACTGTAGAAGCAGTTCCAACAACATTGCAGACACCCAAGCCCGTTTTACAGATGGTGTCAGTTCATGGAGACTGACCCATTTTCATGTGAAATGGATTCAGTTCAGTAATTTCTTCTGTTCTTGCAGAAGACTGGATTGACCGATTGTAACCAGATTGTCTTCAAGGCTATGGAGGTTACACAATTGGGTCTTTACGTCTTGTCAGATGTTATCTGAATGGGGATTATGGACTGTGCGCATCTCCAGCTTGACTAATTCCCTTAAGGAATCTGACTATTGTCCTGAAGGCTCTGACAGAACCACATTTTTAAGCACTACATGAAATAGGGCTGGCATTTCTGGCATTCTGCATTTCTTCTGTGTGTTTGATCAGTTAAGAGGGTTCATGAAATTCACTGTTCACCTTGCGTGTTTCAAATTAGGACAGGAGGAATCTCCTTTATTTTTCTTTCTTACAAACTCCCCAAAGCTCTGCAGCATTCCCTTGTTTTCTGACCCCTTGGTGCTAAACCCATTTCACCACCTCACAGTTCAGCAGAAGCAGTCAGACTGCATCTTATCTGTCCGGTTAAGCCATTGAGCAATTTCTTTTGACTCCTCCTAAAGGAGTGGTGGCCTGTTCCGCTACAGGAGTGTTTGCCTCCTGGGCATTGTTTAAAGGTGCCTCTGGAATCATGTACAGCTCCAGGTTGGACATCATCTGTGACATTTGTCAGATTTTATAACCTGAATGTTGCTACAACTACTCTACTGTACTTATGTAGACATTTTCAAGACGCTAATCGCTGACTAGTTCACGAACTAATTCAAATCATTAAGTTCCTTTAAACCTTCATGTTTTTTTCTTTTGTTGAACACAAAACAATATACTTTAAAGAAAGATGAAAATATATAGTGGGCTGTACGGTGGCACAGTTGGTAGTGCTGTCGCCACATGGTAAGAAGGTTGCTGGTTTGAGCCCTGGCTGGGTCAGTTGGCATTTCTGTGTGGAGTTTGCATGTTCTCCCTGTGTTGGCGTGGGTTTCCTCTGGGTGCTCCGGTTTCCCCCATAGTCCAAATGCTTGCACTGTAGGGGAATTGATTAACTAAATTGTCCGTAGTGTGTGAGTGTGTATGGGTGTTTCCCAGTGATGGGTTGCAGCTGGAAGGGCATCCGCTGCATAAAACATATGCTGGATAAGTTGGCAGTTCATTCTGCTGTGGCGACCTCGGATTAATAAAGGGACTTAGTTGAAAAAAAAATGAATGAATGAACAAAAATCCATGGTCAACGACTTCCATAAGAGGTAAAACAAATGCTATGGTGGTCAATTCAATTTAAATGAATCCATATTTATTTCTACACTTTCAGAAATAAAGGTACAGGAGCTGTCACTAGGGCAGAACCTTTACAAAGGGTACACATTTGTACCTGATGGGTCTACAATGGTACCTCAAAGGTATTTTTTAGGTATATTTGCGCACTATTATACACCTTTGAGGTACGACTGTGGACTCTTTGGGTACAAATATATATCTTTTGGAAAGGTACTGCCCCAGTGACAGCTCCTGTACCTTTATTTCTGAGAGTGTATAGTGCTTTTTACAATGTAGATTGTGCCAAAGCAGTTTAATAAAGATGATCTAGTAATTATAAACTGCTTCAGTTCCCAGTTGTCGTTTAGTTCCATGTAATGTGCTGTGAATGTTGAGTGTAAAAATATTCCAGCTTTTTTCTACACACAGTTGAAGTCAGAATTATTAGC